GGGAGGCTCCGAGGTGCAGCCGCACGGACTGGCCGTGGCTCTCCAGAGAGGATTTTCCATGGCGCTCCGCACCCTGCCGCTCTGCAGACGTGGATCAGACCTGTCCCAGCTGCCGCTTGGGTGACACCAAGCTACTGCCACGGCTTTTCTTGGCATCGTTCTTTTTCCCAGCTCAAAACTATCACAGAATTTTTTTTCCCCAACTGAATTCAAAGGAGTTTGAGGCTCTTCCACGTCCCCAAAAGCTGGGAAGCCAAGCCCCTCGGTAGCTCACACCGGCATCCCGACATTGCCCCAGCCTTGTCCCCTCCTGGGAGGGATGCGGCTCATCCACCGGGATGCGGCCATCGAAGGAGAAGGTGCTGGTCTTTCCCAGGCACTTCCAGCCGGGACGTGGATGGGTTATTCCCAGCTGCCTGCGGGTGACGATGCTGAAGGCATTTCAGCCTCCGGAGGCTGAGATGGGGAGGGGTTTTTTTGGGGGGGTGGATGCCCACAAGGAAAAGCCCCTAAGTCAGAAAGGGCAGCGTCCCCCAGCTGTGCCCAGATGTTGGTGGCAGGGAGGTGACACCTTGTCCTCGCTATGGTCCCCCAGATGTGGCACCACCCTGCGACACCCCCTCAAAGCCAGCGAGGGCCGGTGCTGTGGGAGTGATGGTGGATGCCACCGGGCATCCTGGGGGCACGGAAGGGCTGTGGATACCCCGGGTTCTGTAGGGACCCCATGTCGGCACAGATAGCAGCCGCGGGGTGGAGGGGTACGTGGGACCCTCCCGAGCCCCCTCGGAGACCGGCACTGGGCTGACCCTGTCCTGGGACCGATCCTGCACCCGGGGGGTGATGTTGGGCCGGGCGTACACCCCCCCCTGCCATGGGGATGGGGACAGGGGACAACCTGGGGCTATGCCCCCACCACCCAGGCTACAACGCGGCGGGGGCTCCGGCTTGCTGCGAACTGGGGCATCGCCGGGCTGTGACACTCGGCATGGGCTGACGGTTCTTATCGCCTCGGAGCCGTGTCCCTGCGTGCTGCGTCCCCCGGGAGCAGCCTCCCCCCGCCTCCTGCCCTCTGATACCGGGGTGTCTCACTGCGCTTTTTTCCTTCCCTAGGAAATGGCTACATTGAAGGCAAAGAGCTGGAAAACTTCTTCCAGGAGCTGGAAAGTGCAAGGAAGGGGGCGGGTGTGGTAAGAGTCGCTCCTGGTTTTCCTCCCCCCTTTCCCTCCTGCCCGAGGGTTCAGGCTGGCGGAGGAGCAGGACCGGGGCAGCTCAGGTTCCCAGTGGTGTGGGAAAGGGGGGGGACGCTGGCACCGGAGGTGGGGTGGGGGGTTATATGCTCCCATCCCCTCTCCTTGCTGACAGGACTCCAAGAAGGACAACTTGGGTGACAAGATGAAGGAGTTCATGCACAAGTACGACAAAAACGCCGACGGCAAAATCGAGATGGCAGAGGTGAGCGGCGCTGGCCCTGTGGGTCCCTGAGACGCGCGTGTTCCCTCCCCGACGCGCGTGTTCCCTCCCCGACGCTCGTGTTCCCCACAGCTGGCCCAGATCCTGCCCACAGAGGAGAATTTCCTGCTGTGTTTCCGCCAGCACGTGGGCTCCAGCTCCGAGTTCATGGAGGTGAGCGGGGCAGGCTGTGCCGGAGTTTCCCGTGGGATTTGGTCCCTCGTGCCTGGCTCCACTGCGGAGAAGCGACTGGGAGGTGGCACTGCCCAAAGCCTCCCATCCTGGTCCGCCCAGACCCTTGGCTTTGACGCAGCACTGGGAGGTGGTGCTGGTTTGGGAGGACAGTGGGAGTGTGTTGAGTTTCCCAGTCCTCAGCATCCCTTGGGCACCTCTCAGGGCAGCTGGGCACCTTGTCCCGGTCTCCAGGCGAGGTGAGCTGAGGGGATTTGGGGGCCACTGCTGTACATTCTCCCTCCGGGGTGGTTGACCCCAGGGATGTGCTGATGCAGTCAACACTGCTCTGGGCCATCCCAAAATTCACCGTCCTCTTGCACAAGGTGAACCCGTCCGCAGGGCGGGAGGGAAATTGCCGCAGAGGACCGAAACGCGGCTGGGGGTGGAGGGGGACATGCAGCGTCTGGGATGGGGGGAGCTTGTGCTGGGAAAATGTAGCCAAGGTGGAGGTGATGGCTGAAAGAGGAGTGCCCTGTGGCAAGGGGGGGATACGGGGGTGCTATTGTTTATTTGCGGGATGCAGTCAAATATTAAAGCCCGGCCTCGCACGCCCGCGTGAGGACAGTAGTGCTTGAACTCTTGGCGTGGG